CCCCACCCCGCCGCGCCCAGACCACGTAAGATGACTCCGCGACGTGTCGAGTATCCTCCCGGCGGCCTGGGCCTGGCTCGGCTCGACTGCTTGGCTTCCTCTCTGTACACCCCGCCCCCTCACCCCCGCGCTTCAGTCTGCGGCCCCCCGACTCAATCGCCACACTCGCGCCCGCCCGGCAGGGGGGTGGCTCCTGGACCCGACTAGAGCCCCGTCGCCGGGTGGGTCCTCGCGTCGGAATGCGCCCGGCGTCCGGCCGCGGCCGCCGCGTCGTGCCCCGGCGGGCGTGGTGGCGTGTAGTACGTACCGGGTCGAGAGGCAAAACAGAAAACAATGTTCCGTTGCCTTGACTGCTTGGCCGGGCCTGGCGGCCGGGCCGGGCGGACTGGCTGGGGCTTGGGTGTGGCGTGGCGTGGCGCTGTAAGGTGAGAGGAGGTTGAGGTGCGGCGGGCGGCGGGGCTCCGCTCCGACCTCTCCTTTCACTGCGCAAGCCAGTGCAGCGCTCCCCTCCACCTCCACGGTCCCCCATTCATGGAACGTCGGGGCCCTCCGAACCCTCCCCCTCCGCGCCGCCGCGGTGCCGGTGCGTACGTACCGTGTACGCGGCGCGACGGTACGGGACGAGGCCCAGGCTACCTGTTGCATTCGCTCCGGCCGAGGCTCGGCGGCCACGGCCTGGCCCCGGCCAGCGTCGTCGTGACTTTGGACGGGGCGGAGGAGCGGGGCGGCCAGCTATATCTGATCTATTGGTGGGAGTAATGACGGTGCGGGATGCCTCCGCCCCGCCCTGCCCCGCCCCGCCACGCCCCGCCACGCCCTTGTTACAGCGGGTATGTGGTGCCCCGCACCACTTAGGCCCTTGCCTTTGTGTGGGCGAGCACTCGTCCAGCGCGACTGTTTGTACACCGCGAGTGTCGTGGCGATGATCTTGCCTCGCCAGCCGTTCCGATGCAGGACGCGTACACCCCCTCCTCCTCCTCCTCCCCGCCGTGCCACGCCGGCCGTCTGGGCTGTGGCGTGGAGTGGCGCGCCTCGCCGTCCAGGCCGTCCAGGCCCCAGGACATGTATCCCGGCCCTCTCTACACTTTGTTAGGATTCGAGTGCGCTATCGCGCAAAACGCAAAGCCTTTTGTAGAGGTCTCGTCCTGCGTTGTGCGCTGTGCGCCGTCCAAGATTTCGTCGAGCACTCCTGTTCTGGCCACCCCAGTGACTCGGCACGGGGCAGGGGGAAAAAGGGGGGGGGGTCTTTCGAGACTACTCAGCGTCAGCGGACAGGTCTTGGGTTCGGCTTATCGCTTTAAACTGTCCCTTCCCCTAACGAGTTGTGGATTTCATGTCCCAGTGCAGTAGTAAATATCTATATCACTCCATGCTCCCCGTTTTTCTAAGACAAACGAAATTTGAATGGAAGTCGTAGGCCAAAGATGAGCCAGTGGCTGGGCGCTAGCAGGTGACCGGCGGTATGTGAGGCGGAGAAGCGGACTGGGGTTTTATGGATGGATGACGGACTCCAGTTCCGCTTATGGCCATAAACTGACACTCCCTACTTAAATTAACTAAGAAGTGGGCATAATGATCTGGGCCGATAATTATCTTAATCACTTGACGCTCCTTATTTTTCTAAGATCGACGAAATTTGAATGAAAGTCGTAGGATGATGTGATGATGAGAGATGCTTTTCTAAAGCGCAAGTTCTCTTTTGGAGCTTGGGCGAGCCGGCCCGGAGCGCACGTGAAGCGCTTCTTTCCTAGACCACATTGAAATTGTGGGTTTTTCTGTGTTTTTTTGGGAGGCCAACACGGCAAAACTCTACTCGGCTCACGAGTGGCTCTCGAGAGATAACGTGGAGATGACTTTGCGTCGTGCCAAGGTGGGCCTGAGAGTCTGCTGGGTCCGCCCGCCGCGTTAGGCCAGTCGGTGACGTCGTCGACCATCTCGATGACGCAGGACGGGCAGCACGTCACGCCGGAGGCCTTCGCGGGTGCAACGTTCAACGGGGCGGAGCCTCGGGCGGAGCAGGGGGTGCTTGGAACTCTTAGAGCACCCTGAGTACTTGGTCACAAAGCGTATGTCCCGGCCAAGATCCGCCTCTGGATGAGCGGGGGAGGGGGGGGGGTCGCTCATGCCGCGCTCTGACGTTGGCCGCGCTCTTTGGTTCTGATCAGAGGACGATCGCTCGTGGCGCCGCGCCGCTGCGAGAGAGTGGTGGGCGTAGTCCTGCAGGCACTGCGTGGCCTTGGTCGAGGGCCCGCCTGAACCCTCGGCCGGTGTGCTGGCCGCGGCGCCGAGGAGGCGGGAGTCTGTTGGTCGCCTCCTTGTCGGCGCGGGCCTCGCGGGGTTGTGTTGCTGTCGTCTCGGGTGGTGTGTGTGCCGCACAGAGTGCCGCAGATTCGGTGCCGCGCTCGCGCGCGACCGGAAGTGTCGCGCATTGTCCTGCGGCCGGGTTGACAACAACTACTTCGGCGTCGAGTATTTTTCTCCCCGGCCGCGTGTATGTCTCGTGTGGCTGCGGCACGCTCGTGCGCGCCGTCACGCCAGCCCAGAGCGCCAGCCCCGCCGCGCCCCTTCATCTGTTTTCCTTCGGCTCGTTACCGCCCCGCGGCTCCGCACCGGATGGATGGGGCGCAATGATGGCAGCCCCTCCGCCCCATACAGTACTATTCTCGGTCCAACACGCAATATTTTACACGGATTTCCGGTCCGTCCGTCCGCCCTTGCTGCCGCTCCCCCGGGGTGTCTCAGCGGCAGGTATTTACCCACGGAAGTGCTTGTGTGTGCGCGACCGCGGCGCGTGCGCGCTGCACGCGGATGTGGACCGCGGCTATCGCAGCGGCAGCTTCCCTGACCGTAGGTCGGACACGGGACGGGACGGGACGGACGGCTGACGGTGACGGTGTAGGAGGAGATAAAGAAAGAACATAGTGTTTGCTCGTGTGGCTGGTATATTTAAGTATGGACGTGAGCGCCTCCAAAAGTGGAGCGGAAACGAGAAAGGCGGGATTAGGTGTCACTATGGGGGTGGTGGGAAAATACCATGCACATGAGCACGGAGGTAGCGCTTACACATGCGTGCAGAAGGCCGGCCGGCCGTTCGGATTCGCCAGCGGCTTGCATTGAGTAGAGGAACTACGGTTTAGTGACGACATGTAACCCGCCAACACTCATGCCTTCTTGTACATGGCAGTACTGAAGAAGTTATACTATAGCACCCGCACGCCCGCAGAGCCGACTGTCGCCCCTCACCATTGCGCCTTACTTTCCGCGCGAGTAGGCAACCCACTAGCACGCAGCAATGTGGTGAAGCATAACTACAGTGTAGTTCGCGTGGTTTATCAATCATCCACCTGATAATTCACAAAAATATAACTTGTTCGGGGTGTCCCATTAAATATGAGCTGGAGTTGAGGTTGTGGGGGGGGTGGGGTGGAGTGGCAGTCACGCCACATTCTTACAATATGTATACTCTCGTGTACAAGAGTGCCTGAGCGACTAATTGCAAGAAGTGCTGAAGGAAAGGGATAGTCAGGGATAGTAACGATAAAGTCGGAAAGCTGACGGCCCGACCGAACACAGGTCAAGCAGGTTCACCTACGCCGGCTTATGAAGATTTAGTCATGATTTTTATCAGTGATGCGGTTACCTTGAACTTTGTTCATTCTTAATTTGTTGATTTGTGATGTAGGTGCAAGATGATATTTATATAATTCATACAATATTTATGACATTCAGTCCATTTGATGATTTTAGAAGTAAATTTACGGCCTTTCTCGAAATTTCATGATTTCAGATTTTTAGGGAAGATGTTCGTTTGACCCAATGATGGGCCAGCTTGTTTTAATAATTGTATTTGCTTATGACGACTGACTTAAATTATCAAAGCCATAGTTTTGCCACTAGAACATTGTCATCCTGTTTGTTTTTTTGTACTTTGCACGTGCACAGCTGAGGTCGCTAATCATGGCGAGCCGCCTGTTTGTGGCCTGGGTTATCTGTTCCTGGAACGGCTTGTCACGGCCGAAGTGTGGCGGGGGGTCGGGGAGGGGTGCGGGGGCGCCGGCAGATGCCTTTTATCGGGCGGCGCCGCGGTACCCCGCCCCGCCCCGCGGCGGGCCGCTGACGGCATCACTGTCTCCAAGGGCTCGAGTTGGCCGAGGCGGGCGCTCATGCGCATACCTTTGCTCGGGGAGAGGCGAGATAGCGCAAAGTATGACGACCGAACGCGCCCAGGACGTCATCAAAGTCTTATCGTGGGGTTTGCAAATCCTTACAGTTCTATGCGAATTGGAAAGTAGGTCTTGATAACGCGGTCAAATATAGCGCGATCCTCTGGGAAAGGACGACTACTTATCCCAGGGCCGCGGGAGCGTTCACCCATTATCCCGGCGGACAGCCGAGGCGCAGGTCGACCCAGTGAGTGATGTATTCGTATTCGGTGTACTCGGCCTGTCCGCGCCGCCGCCGCACCGAGTCGGCCGAGATGCTGGACGCCATCGTCCCGGACATCGTCGTCGAGCTCTCGGCGGACGAGGACTCGGACTGTTGGGATTCGGGATTCTTTCTCGAGCTGACAGAGGTCAGCTTTAATTCGTTCATTATGTATTAACCATGTGGCCATTCACATTGACCTGTCTGTTCAGTTGTATCGGAATCCATCGATACTACCTCCGACTCGTGTGACCCTCGCCTAATCTTTTTCGCATTTAACTGACGCCCTGCCTCTTGTTTTCTCTGTTGCAGAAGTTCGACCTGGACCTTCCCCAGGTGATGAAGGTGGAGTCTCACCACGATGATGCCGTCCTGGATTCCCGAGGATCTCGCGGCAGTATGCAGAAGGTGCCGTCCCTCTCTGACCTGTCCGACCCCGAGAGCTCGCTAGGTAAGTCGAACTGCGTTCACCGCGGTGTCAGCTGTTGACGGTGTAAGTGTCAGTGCACTCCTGGGGCCGTCTAGAGTGGCCTGCAGCCGCCGGAGTCCACGTAACGGCTTGCTGGCGTGGGCCGCACCGGCTCGGCGCCGGCCGCTGCCAGTAGGCTGCTGGACAGAGTTGCCCCCTCCCCCCCCCTCTCCTCCCTTTCCCAATCCCAATGCCCTAAAGGCGTTAGAAATAATAAAAATGTTCACGTCGTACTTTGAGTGTCACGCACTATTTATCCCCATATTCTTAAGCTTGCGTTAGATTCTCGTCATGGTTGGTCCAACGGCTGTAGCTGCGAGCTGCTGTGGGCGCTGTGAGCCCTTCATCTCTTTGTATGTGGAGCCAAGTGATTGCAGCCGTGCCCCGCCCCGCCCCGCCGCGTCGCCGTACGCCCTGCCTCGCGTGATAATTTATAGGGTGCAGTTGTCTGCGACAAAGTCTCTTATTGCTCAAGACGCTGTATCGCGCCGTTAAGTCTGCCCACTCGGCGCGGAGTGAACGTCGGTGCGTCACCTCCAACAAGCAGAGCGCGACCGCGCCCCGCCGCCTCGACACGACGGCGTTACCGAGAAACAAAAATTAAAAGATACGGAGCGGCGTGGCGTGGCGCGGCGCGGCGGGAGTAGGCGCTGCTGAGGGGCCGTCAAATCGTGGTGCGTGTGCGTGGTTCGCACCTCGCCTCGTCGCGCGCCCGGCCCGGCCCGGGCTGTCCGCCCATGTATGTGAGCGGAGGGCAGCCCTCGTGGCGGGGACCCAAGTCGGCTCAGCGTGTGGCGGGGCGTGGGGCGCGGGGCGCTGGGCGGTCGCGGAGGAGAGCCGGCGGAGCCAGGTTGCAACCTTAGCTCGGTAAGAGGAGTGTAAATCGTCCCCGAGCAAACAAGTCGCACAGCGTCCCCTGTGAATGGGGCCCGCCCCGAGCCCGGCCGCGCCCTGCCCCGTGGCTTTCGCTCTGAATAATGCTGGGAGTGGCGTGGCGGGGCGTGGCGGGGCCGAGCCGTGGGTGATTTACGGGTCACTTCGGCGCGACTGAGGGAGGCTGTCAGCGCTCGGCGACGGAGTGGTATTATTGGGGAGTCAGACCTCAAGGACCCCCGTGCTCCGCGCGTCCACGAGCTCCCCGCAAGGCGCCATCACGACGGCCATAGGCGAACTTCTCGTGCAAACCGCGAACGCGCCCTGCCTGGCGAGCGCGCCGCGCCGACGTGGGAGCATGGTAGTTAGGGCGAAGCAGCAGAGGGCACACACAGAGCAGAGCGGAGCAGCCCGAGCACCAGTGAATTGAAATGTTGTTCTTGTATCTGGCAACTCCATCTGTTTACAACGCGGCCGGTTAAAAATAGCTGGCGCGCTGCTGGGGTTAGGATCGCGGGGTGGCGCGGCGGCGCGGGGTGGGCAGGGGCGCAGTGCAGTGCAGCCCTCCCGCCGCCAGGTGGCAGCACTGGTGCAGCGCCGCCGGCGAGGACCTCCCCGAGCAGCAGGACGCGTCGCCTTCCCCGGGGCGTCCCCGAGGCCCCACCCTTCAACCTCCTCGCCACGCCCGTGTCACTCAAGGGCACATCAGCAACTCATGTATGCTGATGCATCATGAAGACAAGTTGAAAAACATGTTTGGGTGGAGGCGGCGGGGCGCGGCGGAGGCTCCTGCATACAGATGACAACATTTTCACCTGCGCTTTGTCTCCCTGGGCCCGGGGGACGCACCAGGGGACGCATGTATGGAGCGCGGCTCTCCGAGTACCCTGCCGGCCCGAAGTACTCACTCAGCCGGTGTACCCCGGCTGGTGTACCCCGTCCGGTTTTCTGCCCCACACGGTGGTTGCATATCAGGACTTCCACTCGGCTTGGTCGTGCCCTGCCCTTCGTCGGGGCCCCCTCCCGAAGATGCCGGCCGCCAGTCGAACCAACGACCGACGGTCGAGCCGGCCGGCCGGTGTTCAGGGACCCGCCGCTAGAGCGCGCCAGCGCCCAGGCCGCGGAGTATGCTCGCGGCAGTAGTTCGAGCCCCGGCCGCTGGGTGGCGCTGCGCTGCAGTTCTCCGAGTCAAGCGGCTCCGCGGCGGGATGGCCTTCCCTCCTCCGCGCTCGAGACCATCCTCAACCCCCTGCATAGCAACCCCGGCTGAACTCCCCGAAACGTTTGAAGCTTCAAGTTGCATTTACAATGAGTGGCGCGATTGTGACGTGCGGGGTTGTTTTGTTGTGGAGCTACGAGAGCCGCTGGGGGAGCGGGGGAACGTGTCGTGTCTCTGCTGCTGCTGCCCGCCTGTCTCGCTACTTGCAGCAAGACCTGCAATTAGGACGGGCCGACGGTAGGCCTGGCCCTCGGCGGGATCTGCATACAATGACGAGACAAGATACACACGAGTGGAAGCGGGGAGGGGGCGGGCGCGGACCAATACCGGCCGGGCGACGCCTCGGCGAGCTCAGCGCAGCTCAGCGTGGCGGGGGGTGGACCATCGAGAGGCGCAGTGACCTGAACCTGGACACTGCGCGCCTCCGAGAAACACAGCCTGTGCCCCGCAACGGCTCATAATCTTTCACAAACGCCCGAATGAACACTGAACACTTTGGCGTCTGTAAAAAGTGCATGGTACATATACGTTAACCCGGCCTTTTCGACAACGTAATCAAGAGGGGAAGGGCCGATTCTGAATGTTGAGGTGTCGACAGAGTGGACTTGGCGCGACGCGAGGACGCGACAACGAGCAATATTGAAATTCGACGGGTTGTGCAAGGCCGGAAAAATAAAGAAGCCTCCGTGTCGGCCGGGTGCTCGGGGCTCGAGGACGCCTGTCCTATAAATCGGCGCGGCGTGGCGTAGCGCGGCGTCAAACGGCGAGTCGTGCGCGGCGTGTCGACAAGGCGAAGGTGGGGCTACACGCCGCGCCCCTGGCAGCCCCTCCTGGCAGCCCCTCTGGCAGCCCCTCTGGCAGCCCCTCTGGCAGCCCCTCTGGCAGCCCCTCTGGCAGTCCCTGTGGCACCCCCTGTGGCAGCCCCCCTGGCAGTCTGGCAGCCCCTGGCAGCTCCTCTGGCAGCCCCCCTGCTGACTGATTTCGTAGATACCTCCCCCTGTGGCAGCCTCTGTGGCAGCCCATCTGGCAGCCCCTCTGGCAGCCCCTCTGGCAGCCCCTGTGGCAGTCCCTGTGGCAGTCCCTGTGGCAGTCCCTGTGGCACCCCCTGTGGCAGCCCCTGTGGCAGCCCCTGTGGCAGCCCCTCTGGCAGCCCCTCTGGCAGCCCCTCTGGCAGCCCCTCTGGCAGCCGCTCTGGCATGAGCCCCCCTCGAGCCCTCTGGCAGCACACTCCCCGGCCCGGAGGCCACCCGTGCGCCCCCCTTTTATCTCGAGCAGCGTGCGCGGGTGGAGCCGGAGCCGGCCCATCGGCACGA